AAATAAAGTAAAATTGGTTTAAAGAACTTTGAATATTTTGAATCATGAACGAGCAACCGTATCCCCTGATATATTTTTGTGTTAACTGCCTTTTGATTTCATTCAACAATGCTATATAAATTATACAATTTTCATGAACTATTTTGTGAATAATAATATATTTAGTAAATTAGTAGTGCAAAAAAATTTGTGTACCATAAGTTAATAATAGATCAGGAAAATAATATAATTTTAATTTATGTACGTTGACATAAAGAAAGTTATTAACCGCCAAAGTAGTTTCCCTTTATTCCAGAATTTCTCCTAATATATACCTACTTTAAAAATCAAACTGCACTTCGGTGAATACTTAATCTCGAAATTTCACATAATAAATTTTTTTAACTTTTAATATCTACTTGAAATTCCCAACGGGATTCAAGCAATCCTTTGGCGGTATCTTCTAATAATACCTCTCTTCGACTTCCGACATAAACAGTTTTATCCAATACTTGTTGTTTCAGTTCAGCAATTTTGTCGGCCTCGATAGGTTTTTCCAACAACTCTGAAAGCTGTTCGACTGCCATTTCAAGATCACGCTGATTATCTTCAAAGATTTCAGTTTGATTGTTACGAGCAAGGTAAAAGGCAAAAGCATAAGTCCATTTGAGCGTCATACGGCATTGAACGAGGATATCAACAGCCTTTTTAAGGAATTGAACCTCAATCCAAGATAGATCAGAAGTTTGTTGCATCTCTTCCATCTTTTTCTCAGTCTTGTTGTACAATTCACGGTCCAACTTTGCCGATTGTTCGTGATTTGCAAATCGATTATAATACTGAATGAAAGAAAGAAAGAAAAAATTATTTTTGATGTGATATATAAAGATTCAAATGAATATACGAGAGAATCAAATCAAACCAAACACATACATGTAAGTATCGTTCCAAAGAAGCGCGAGACTTTGCTTGTTGATCTCTTGCGTCTATGCTAGTCTTTTCATCATAACGATTACAATTGTACCAGCTAGTACCATGCTCTGACCAAGGACCCATACAGACCCAGCAAAATTCATATTTGCATTTACGACAGGTCATATGGTTGCATCCACCATTCTTTTCAATAGTTGAATGACATTTCCCACATTCCTTTGTATGAGCAGAAATCCAATTAGCTGTCTCGGAATCATCTTCACATTTTTTAATCCATTTCCTTACAAGAGCGCAAATGGAAGGTTGATGATCTGGATGACCACAGCCAAAGCAGAAGCGATGTGTACAAGCACATTCAACTGTTGGGACGATGCTTATGAGTGAAGTGGGTAGAACGTGACATTCAATAGCATATTCACAACTAGGAGCAGGACACCATCGCAAATATTCATTATCGTCAACATACGTACGATTTAGTAACGAACGATATCTATCAAAAATAAATAATTAGTTCATAAATTAATATTTTTTAGCCTTTAAAAAATAAATAAATAAATAAATAAACTTCAAAAACAATTGAATATGGATTAAACATGAACCTTTCATGTATATCTTTATTCACTGCTAATTTGACTGTTTTTTCGTCCACTATTACATTACAATTGTTGGCCATGCACAAAATTCTGCGACTTTCACCTTCTTCTTTGATCTTTTGTGTCAAATAATGTTCGTAACAATTTCGACAAAATCTGTGACCACAAGATAGAGCTAAGGTATATAGATCTTCGTCATCATCACAACAGATATCACACATGAAACCAGGAATCTTTATAAATTTTGGTGTTCTGGTATTATCGGTTATGACACCAGCCTTATTTAAAACCTCTCGTGAATCATCCATGTACCGTTCGATGAGTCTCTCTTTATTCCAACGAAAATGACGAAGTAGCGTCGCGGCATGCTGTCTCTGGATACCGAGAATGTTGGATACATGATTAACTTCATCATCCTGATTCTTTACGATACCTTCAACAGAGTGAACAATAAAATCCACTTCATAATTTTTTTTACGGTCTTTTTCTGCTACAACATCCGTAAAATTGAGATCTGTATCGTCATCATCATCTACATAATCATCAACATCATCAACGTCATCATTATCATCATCTTTAGATAATTATCATTGTAAATAAAAAAAGTATAAATTAAATTATAAAAAAAAAATAGTAATTGCATTAAGAAAGGGACATGCGCAGCAAACTTTTTTTTTTAAAAAAATAAAAAAATTATAAAAGTGACAATGCGATAAAAATAACGTACAACATACCTGAGTCTCGATAAATGATATCCTCCTCAGACATGTCCGACATTGGTTCAATCTTACGCTTTTTATGCTTTTGAGACGACGTCTTGACTGTTTTACGTTCAAAGTACTATACAAAATCTTCTTTCAGGTAGAACTTCCCACTTCTATGCAGGATAATTTTAAGCACTCTCGAAGCTATTAAAGAGAGAACTTTTGGAATCAAGTTAAAGCTCGATATTTTTCAAATAACTTCAAAAAGAAAAAAAAGTAACTTTGCTTTATCTTTTTTTTTATTGCACAAGGGTTTTGAGCCTGTCCTTTTATATAAAGGAGATCTCTCGGGGTACTGTTACAGATCACATGACGGATGCATAACAAGTCAAATAATCCGTTGTCAAACGTTTGTTATATCTGTATATCTGTAAACTGCTTCTAAATGGGATGACTTAATAATTGTTTCATTTAAAAACATTCGAGTTTGAATTTTTAGTTCACGTGACGCACTTGAATTGAAACGATTTGCTTTGTTGGATTTTTTTTTTTTAAATCTTTGATAAATTTTTTTAAACTTTTTTATTTTTTTTAAAAAAAAAAAAAATCATGCTTTATAAATTTATTATTAACTACCAAAAAAAAAAAAAAAATTATTCACGGGAGAAATTGACAGAACACTGTTATAATATTAACGTCCGGACTATCGTCATCTTGGGTTAATGTTGGCAGAAGGAGCTAAATGAGAATGATGAATCAATTTGATGAATAACTATAATAAAAACAAAGAATAACAAAGAGATATTTATTTAATTGATATATTACCTTTCCATTCCCAGTATCCCGCTTCAAACCCACTGTAACGGATGTTACCGGCGCGGACGTACGGGTATGCTCGAACCCTTGCGTCAAGCAGTTGGAAAAGCTTTTGACGTTCCATGGGGTCCGTCACGTGTGCGAAAGCTTCTTCGCGAAATTCAAGACAAATTATTTGTTTTTTTTCGCTTAATCTCATTAGTGCTAAATTAAAAGCGTCGTTTACTTGATTACGTTCCCACATCCATCGTCGGACAGACAAGAAGAGAAATAAAATTGCGGATATCGTTGATACAACAATCAACGAGTAAAATGGATTGTCAAAAACGTTATTGAAGAGGTTGACGACGGCATTAGATAATTGACAGTAAATTCCATAAGTTGGCTTTTTGGAGTATATGGAAGTTATTACAGTACCGTTATGATCTTTCTTTATAAAGTAAATATCATCATCGTGTTCAATATTTTTGTACACATCTTCGCTATATTTAGCGTAGTCTTGTGATGGCATTTTTTCTTTAAGTCGAAGTTTGAGATTTTCATATATCAGATTGTCTTTGTCATATCCACATTCGAATCTCCCCGTTTCGTGAGCAACAATTTCTTTGAATTCTTTAGTGTATTTCTTTGCATTTGCCATCTGATCTTTATCAATCACACAATAAGGTTTATTGAACCTAAAATATGATGTTTCCAATTTGAAGCCTCTTTCACACTCTGTGATAACGCCTTTTGAACAAATTGATCCCTTGGGACATGGTGTGCATGTCTGGTCATTTATGAGCTGAGATGATGTTGAATCGTTTTCACCTTCCTGAAGAGAGGATGTCGCACTATCGCAGTATTCATTGTTTTTAAAACCGAAATACAAGATGCCGCCGGATATGATTAAAAAAAAAATGATCTTTGAACGAAATGAGAATCTTGGTTTTCGTTTAATAAACTCTGGAGGTGGTCTGCGATCGATAGGTTGTTTAAAAGATCGAGGTTTATGGCAATATGCAATTGCTTCACGTCGTTCAATTCTGTCCTTTTTGGGTGATGTTGTACTATTTTCAGTTCCTCCTCGAGATGGATATTGAGAATCTCCTTGAGTAGGAGGATATAGGGATACTTCATCAAGTTCAGTTGACTGTCGTAATTCTTGTTCCTTGCGCTTTACTACCTCCAGTTCTTCTGGTTCTAGAAAAGGATATGCGGGAGTTCTAGAATATGGAGGCATCATAGGGTAAAATGGCGCAGGAGACGTTGGAGCTCTTAAAGTACGTGGTGGGGAAACATTTTCAGAATAATTTTGATTCAATAGACTTTGCCTTGTACTTTCTACCGTTGTAGTCTGTTGTGTTTCGACAGCTATTTCACCTTGAACATGTTGCTCGATTACCTCTCTTCGTTTTTTGCTACTTGCACGTCCAGACTTCTGCCTTTTTTGATGTGGCGTTTTAATTTGTGTAGTTGAAACAGAAGGCACGATCTCTTCTTCAGTGTGTCTTTGTTCGTTGTCAACTGTTCGTGCTCTAGACTCTTTGTCAGTTTTTCGTTCTTGTTGTCCTCCTGTTCTCCTTTGTAATTCGACAATAGGAAGAACATGATCTTGAAATTTCTGGATGAATTCAGCCTTTCTTGAAATATCTCTATAAGGAATATCATTAGCGTTTAAAATCTCTTTAAGACGTTTTACAGTGACCTTAGAAGGGTCAAAATCTTTTGCAAAATAATCTTGATTACTCATGTTGACAAAATTATTTAAATTTTCAAATTGTTTTGATTGATACCCGGTACGAAAGAATATTTATAATGGATTAATAATTTTTGCTAATAGTTTGAAAATTTAAGTTTGTGAGTAAAAGAAAAATAGTAAAAATGCAAATTTGACAAAAAGTTATTGATTCATTTCATAAAATTGTTGGTGATTATTTTTCGCGATATTTTTTAATGTTGTTATGCACGTGACAATGCAGATCAGTGGCTTAGATTATATACATTAAAGCTATAAAAACGCGTGTTAATTATCAATTATACATCCAATGATTTACCTAATGTAGATCAAAATCCGAACGAAGTTAACGTAACAATTGATTTTTTTCCCGTGTAACGTTATTTTTTATCATTACATTCAGGAATCTTTAATCTTTACTACAGTTGTATTTTCAATGTGAGTTATATTGTTACTTCTTTGTTATTAGCTAATCCCGGTTTAAATCTTACTATCTATTAATAACTTGTTACTGGCTGTATATTAGGACCAAAAAAAACTCACAAGCAGGAAGTCGATCCCGTTCTCGGAGTCGTTCTCCACGCTCGGTGTCAGGCACGCGCTCTAGAAGTCGCTCTTACTCTTCTTATTCTTCAAGAAGCCGTTCACGATCTTACTCTAGAAGTAGATCACGTTCTTTATCATATTCACGTAGTCGTTCTCGCTCACCTTATTCACGTAGAAGGCGTTCTTTGTCCCCACTTCCTACAAAGATTTTGGTTAATAAATTGACAAAAAATGTTACGGATGCACATTTAAACGAAATATTTGGAGCGTTTGGACGAATTCATCGTGTAGAAATGGCTCTTGATGATAAATGCAAGTTTTTTTCATATCTTATTTACTTTAGTTATTTTTTTAATCTAAATTCCTTTATTTTTTTATTATTTCTTAGGGCAATCTAATAAAGGAACAGCTTTTATCGATTACGAAACTAGGGCTGAAGCAGAACGAGCGATTAGTTATATGGATGGAGTATGTATGGACTTTATCAAGTATAAAAAAAATTTATTAAATAAATGCATTAACTTAAAAATTGTATAAAGGGTCAACTTGATGGTTCAGAATTATCTTGTACATTTGTGCCTCGTCGTCCGATTTCTCCATTACCGCCCAGACGCAGAGGTATAGTAAACTTACTATGTTTATTTAAAATTAATCCTGAATTATTAAATAAATTACCCTACCTTAGGTGGAAGATTCAACTCTCCTCCTCAGCGTCGTTTTGCGGCGAGTAGCTATCGTGCTCGCGGTAGATCTCCATTGCGTCGCTATTCAAGATCACGATCAAGATCGCCACCAATACGTCGAAGACGTTCTTATTCATATAGTTCTTATAGTTCGCGGAGTAGATCAAGATCACCTTATTCCAGAAGTCGTAGTAGAAGTTATTCACCAAGAAGTCGATCAAGAAGCCGCAGTCGAAGCAGAAGTCGTAGTCGTTATTGAGATATCTATGGCTCAGACATTTATCTTCTCTTTTCTCTTTTTCATTTTTTTTTCAATTATATGATCTTACCTTTTACCTTTTTATTTTTTTGGTTACGCTGAAAATTTTCGAGGTTTTATAACCTTTTTTCCTGTTATAACATGTATACTTACTAATGCTTGTTTCTAGGAAAGTCTTTTGAATTTACCGTGTATACGAAAACTGTAGAATCGATGATAGATCTTGTGCAAATGGTTACTTTTTCCCGCATTTTATCAGAACTTTGCATTTTAACTTTTTTTTTTTTTTTAAAAAAAAAAGAAAAAAAAAGAAAAAAAAAAAAAAATACAATTATTAAAGATTTTTTTAATCTTCCAGAGGTTACTTTAAACAAATTTCCGATTTTTTTTTGCTTCCTTTCCTTTTTTTTTTTTTACAAAAAAAAAAAAAAAAAAAAAAATTTAAGAACCCTTAAGTTTGATTTAATAAAGAAGTAAGTATTGTTTTTTTTTTTTTTTTTGATGTCAATTTTAAAATGATTTCTAAATTAGAAATAAAAAGAAATAATATATTTTTAAATACAGGAATTTAATAAATTTAATACAAGCAACGTTTATTTATGTGTGTATTTAAAATATTATCTGAGCACTTTCTTGTTAAATTGTCATATTTAATATCCTGATTTGTGACTTTATTATGATATTTTCATCAAATTCAATTAATTCATTTAGATGATTAATAAATTTAACTGTACTTTTCTACTTTTTTAAAAAAAAAAGCAATTATGCTGGTTTGCATAATAGTTTATAAAAAATAAAATTTCTAAATTTCTAAATGATTGCGAAATACAAGATCATCATCTATTTTAAATTGGTAGTTTAGTATTATCGTTACTATATTAATCTATTACTATTTATTTATCTTTGTCAAAATAAAAATTTAAAAGCTTCAGATGAATAATTTTTTTTTTTAAAAAATATAAGTATTGTCTATGAAAATTAAAGTTCATCAACTATCAAAGGACCCCCGATCTCTGTCATATTAATAGTTAAAGGATCATAATCATAAACACCACCTTCCTTATCAAATTTCTCTTCCACATAAGCACTTTCCATTCTGAAAAAAATCCATAACCAACGTCGTATAACTTCGAAAATTTCCATTAAAAATACACTAGCTTGTAATTTATGTATAATATGTAAATGAGATGATAATTTTAATGACCATGTAAATCTAAGTAAAAAGTTTACGAATATTGCTATGTAATATATAACGCGTTCATTAAAATGCAAAGGTAGACGCGTTCGAAGTTTAAAACTAGGCATAAAAGCACCTGGAATCGTTGGTGAAAAGAAATCTAATTTCCAATCCATTACAACATCCCAATAAAAAGAATACATAGAATTAAAAGCTACCGAGATTACCCTAATAGATAAAAAAAAAAAAAAAATTATAATTAAAAAAAAAAGAATTAAAAGCAAGAATGAATGAATGAAATGAAAAAAAAAAAAAAATCATTATACCATAATTTAAATAAGATGGGAGGTGCAATCCAGATAACTGACGGATGAGTTAGTGACTCGAATTTATACCATTTTTGTAATGCTGACAATAATATAACAGGAAATGCCGAACAGTATTTAAAAGCATTAAATAAATGACGTCTATTACTATATTTGGAACGAATGTATTCCGTCATACACTGCCTAAACCTAATAGCGTATGGAAAGCTTAAAGGCAAACATCCGAGTAAAAAATCACTAATTTGTAAATTAGATATCGAAGAGTAAGGTAATACTAATTTACCTGGTAAATAAAGGAGCTATTATATAACTCCAACATCTATTTCCTGAATAGCCTTCTTGATCAACATCGTAAAATAATAAAATACATCCCGTGACATATAAATCACCAAATACTTTTGCAAAACTAGTTAAAATATCGGCCATTATTACGTCCGCGGGTAATACTTCACTACCAAAACCAGAAAATATTACTCTTCGAATACACCTTCATTCAAGGAAAAAATTAATTAATATATATATATATAAAATAAAATACACGAAAGATGCGAGCATATATACTAACCTCAAAAAATTTGCTCTTTCTTTCCTTTTAAGAACGTTGAAAGGACATAATATAATTACAAAAACAACAGCATAACAAGCTAAGGGAATTGACGTCCATTCTGTAATTTTTGCTTCAATACCACCAGTTACTTTCCAAAAGATCACTAAATTCAACCAAATTAAAAACGTAAGGATAGAGGCTAATGTATAAACATCTTTAAAAGAAGTTTGAGAAGTTCTATTTTTATCATGAGAGGAACTCAAGAGCAGTGGAACGTTTATAGAAGTCCACGAAAGTATTTGTAAATTAGATCCCCATGCCCAAAGTCCTATTACAGAGATAACAAGTACACGATAAGGTAAAGGAAAAGTATTAGATAAACTCCACTCTACGGTGGACATTTTTGGTTTTTTCTTTTATTATTTCTTTATGTTGACTTTTGGTTTTTTTGTCATAGTGTGCGTTTGGATTGAAAGGTATGTTGTATGTGTGAAATGTTAATGTAGAAAGCTACTCATCATTATCGTTCTAAAAATATCTCGAGTTTAATTAAACTATTTCTATAAAAGTATTTGTGGTGGCACAAAAAAAAATATATATCACAACCCGTGCGATAGAACCAATAGAAAATCATTTCTTTTTTTTTTTTTTTCTAAATTAAATCGTTTTAAATTGACTGGACCAGTTTAATAATCAAATATTAAAAATTTTAAACGTAGTCAAGTCAACCCTTTTTCTTTTTCTTTATCTTTTTTTTTTCCTTTCTTGTTTTTTTTTAAAAAAAAAAAAAGAAAAAAAAAAAATAATAGTAACTATATTATTTGAAATTGGTTACTTTTACAAGTATAACTAACTGTACAACGTAATTATTGTTAAAAATAAAAATAATAATCATGTAATAATTAAAATAAAATCTGGTCATAATTCAATATTGTCTTTTATGGTAATTAAATTAATCATCTTCGGAATCCGTTAGGTCGTCATTTAATTGTGTTAAACCTAAACTTTCTTCATCGAATGCATGAAATAAAGTCGCATCTCTCGTTCTCATTAAAGAATCGCGTCTTTCTCCTGATGCAGATGATCTTAAGATCCCAGTTCCGGTTTGCATTGGCTTATCCATCAATCCACGTCCATCATTCTTTGCTGTATTTAATAAATATACTCCAGAAAATATTGTAAGGAATCCACAAAATAAACTAACAACATTTACCATGGACGTTGTATTAAATCCTTGAAAGAGAAGAACTGATGCGAAAATCGTTGATGTTGTAAAAAACACATAGTATATAGGATTTACTCTGACGAGGAGGAAAAAAAAAAAAAAAAAATGAAAAATGAAAAATTAAATTTGTTGAGAGTCATTAATTAATTCGACTTACATATTGGTTTCAAATTGATCCAAAGCTTTGTTAAAATAATTCATTTGTATTAATATGCAAAGTGTAGATATGATAATAAACACGTATGTTGATGGATGTGTTAACTGATTATTGCCCGCAAAGGTGAGCTTTAGCGCAATTCCAAATCCTTTACAAGACATCACTGATATTGAACCAACCAATGAGCAAATTGAAAGGTACACCAAAGGATCTTTTCTGCCATATTTTGGTACAATTTGATATATAGCAAAAACTGTATAACAACCAACCGTTAAAATATAAAATAAAAATCCTATAGTGATTAAATAAAAAACTCAATTAAGTAATTTATGTTTAAAAAAAAAAAAAAATTCATGGCATCTGACCAAATTTTAACTGACCTACCAGGTTTAAGGGCAAATTGTAAAATTTCATCAACTGTTTTAATTTCTTTATCTGCAGGTGAGTGAAGTACAATCATAATGGATCCAATTAAACATAGCCCACAACCAACGGTTCCTAACCGCCCAAGACTTTCTTTAAGAAATAATGATGCCAAAACAGCTCTAAAAATAGAAAAAATATATATTTATATCACTTGACCTATAGTCACCAAATGTGCGAAAATATTTTCTTGCACGTACCCAATTAAAACACTAAGAGCTCCAAGAGGCGTTACAAGTATAGCAGGTGCAAAGGAATAAGCCGCAAAATTTAACAATTCTCCAAAAACCACTACAAAACGAAAATTATTTATTCAATTTAAGATTTATCACCTTTGATACATTTTTCTCTATGGTGGATTTTAACCTACTTGTTGTCATTCCTATCCACCAAATTGGATTTTTTAAATAACTATGGTCATCGCCAGCGAATCCTAAAAGTAAGAATTATTTCAATATGTTTAGAATATAAAAAAAACTCCCAGGCTAATCAACATAATCTTTCAATATTACCATGTCTGTCATTTGCGTCTATTAGTCCCTTTTTCGTTATAATAAAAGACGTGCCAATCAACAGACTGGAAGCGACGGCCAAAGTCAATCCAATATATCTATCGTCTATGCCCATTCGTTGATTCTTATATTTAAAGTTTTAAGTTTATTTAAATGACACAAAGATAAATAATAATAATAATAATAATAATAATAATAGTAAACAGAAGTGTCTTTTTAAAACTCGACTTCTTTTTATTTATTATTTGAAATGTCACCAGGACTGCAAAAATTAATGGTAAAAAAAAAAAAGGCAATTTGAACGGAATCGAGAAAATAAATAGATCTAGTAAGGCGATGTAAAAGAATGTCAAAATATATTTCCCGTTAGATTAGGAAAAATATGGTTATAAGATAAATAAAGCTCCAAGAAAGATAATTGATCGTTATAAACTTAAAGGAAGAAGACTCTTCCTAAAACTTTTTAGCGGATTCTGAAGAGAAAATGTAGTATCATTTACTACTTTATTTTCTTTTCTACTTATAATTTTTTTTGAGGTAAGACCGAAAACATATAGTACAATATCAAATTTGTCAATTTTGGAAATTCTATCATGGTTGAAACAAGTTTCAAACAAGTTTGCAATTATTGCGATTTGTTGATCTGGGCATGATCTTATGAATGTCGATCAATTTTTCATGTTAATTCCTGTTCATTTTACTTATTTTATATCAAGAATCGAGAGATTTTTTTTTACTATGAAGTTCCTGTTTGAAAATTTTTTTTATTATGACTAATATTTATACCGTATATATATTTATTGTTTTATGATTCAATTCTTAATAATATATTAAGTAATTGTGTTCGCACAATTTCCTCAAATTTTATATAATTTTATAATTTTATATAAACTACATATAGATTACATAAAGATCTTTTATTTTGAATAAATAGTATTAAAAATAATTTATTTGAAGTAAGTTGCTATCCAAGAGTAATTAATTAATTTTTTTTTTTTCTTTTATTAATTAAATGTTTTTCAATCTTTTTTTTCTTTTTTTTTTTTAATACTTCATTCCTTTTGCTTCCATCATAAATACATTATTATAAAAGTGATTTTTTTTTCTTGCTTAACTTTAATTATTGATTTTTAAAAGCCGATCTGTATATTTCGTAAGATAGATATAAAAATTTAATTCTTTTAGAAATTGGAGTTGTAAACTTAAAGAATTTTTATCTGAAAGAAATATCTGTCAAATAATATTAAAAATTTAATATTATTTAATAATTCATAATTAAATACTATTTAAAAAAAAAGATTTGAAATGTCAACAAAAATACTTAAACGTAGAAGAGGTGACAAATGGATATGCAAATACTGTACCGCTCCGAAATTAGACAATCATGGGTAAATGCAATTAATTAATCACGCGTAGGAATGATAACGGTTCGACCAGTTCTGTTTCGGTCCGATTTTTATCGGTTTGTGGGTAAAATCGAACTGTAGACCGATTTGAAACTGGAGTCTATACCGAAATTTAGATCAGAGTTTTATATTGTATAAAATCTTAAAAAAAATTCGTAGGATTGTGCAACACAAAGTGCAATGCGTGCGTGTTAATTTCAACATTCCCAATCCAAAAATTTTATAATATCATAATAAAAAATAAACCAAAAAAAAAAAAATCAAATTATACAAAAAAAATTTTTTTTTGCGATCTATCTATTATCCTGAAACTTTATTTCCATCAAGTTTTGACCTGAAATAATTTCGCCTTATTATGCATCCCCACAATTTTAATATTAATTATAAATTTTCTACTATCCTTTTCTCCGAAATCCAATGCTTCATACAAATAATTGCCTTTGCTGTTTCAGGATTTAACCTGTTTCTAACTTTTGAGATAGTTAAGCTTGAAATTGAAAGGCTCTTTCTGATGGAATCGAAGTCGCTTGGATTGTTAAATAATACTTGACGACAATATCGAATAATTGTTTTCATGAATTTTCCACCAAATTAAAGGATTGGCACTAATACCTGCCAGAGAATTTAGATATTTATCTATTTCATCACATGACATACTTTTATAATTATTTTGATTAAGCAAATTAAGAAAATAATCTCAAGGCGATAACTTTTTTTTTGATATTTGTTTGATTATTTAAGGAGAATATGTTATATGGGGCAGACTGCAACAAAACCAGACAAAGTGAACATTTGATTATGTGACATAAATGAGAGGCTGATTATGATGTGACTGTAAAATTGATCTGACTGATGATCTTTTGAAAAATAATAATGGTGCTCATTCATAACTTATGGATTTGTTAATTTTAATGTTCACTTTATTATACCAGAATGTGATGAATATAAACTATAATATGATTAATATAGGATTATGTGTATATAAAACTATAAATATGAAACTAATTTACATTAATCCATTATGGAATCCAAGAATTACAGCACTAATAGAAGCATTCTAAAAAAAGCTCAAGAAGAAAAATTGCTTCATACATTTTTAAAATCAAGATATCCTAACTCTTCAGGAATATCTAGATAAAGAAAAGTCCACATATGAAATTTATCAAGAAAAATGAATCATAAATGAATCTTAATACTAACACATTGTCATCAGATTCATTTTTTATTATCTTAACATCTAAATTAAAAGGCTATGGCAATTGATTCTACACGTTGAAGTTTCTGATTTTAGGATTTTCTCTAAGTTCTACAGGTATCTGTTATATTTGAATCAACTCAGCAATTTATCATGTCTTAGAATTTAAGATATATTAGTCGAACTCGTAATGATGAATTCAATAGTAAGTTAATATAGGGTATCACAACAAATCCTAGATGAAGAATAACATTGAAGGAAAAAGTAAATTTGTATAGATTTAAATTAATTCCTTTATTTATAACTTGAAACTCGTAGAAGAGTTTAAAAACTTATAACTAAGTTAATAAACTTGCAAAAAAGTTAATTTACAACTTAAGTAAAAAGCTATTCTATTTATACAAAATGAATTTACTATAGCTAACTATTTGCTATGCTATAAACTAACTATTTTAGTAAATTTCGCTTATAAAATATTAATAA